GTGCCATGTCACATAAGCAAGCGGCTCGCGCGCCCCTTCCCGCTCCGTTCGCGGGAGGACGGTGCAAATGTGCAACGTGTTGGGAAGCGGGTCGACCTGAGGAATAGTTGGATTTTTTTTTTATTTATTTTCCGGGCTGCTGGTAACCTATATGATTTAGCTATTTTACATCATTAGTTACCCAGCACCCTTAAACGTAGCAGATAGCCATATATTAGATTGAGGTTAGGGAAGGTGGTGACTGTTTATTTAGGGTGATAAAATGGTCCATCAGCAGTAATCTCCATCGATATGTGCCACCAGGAGATGAAGGATGAGGGGACAAGCCACAATTAATTGCCCTATAGTTTTGTAGGAGAGAGTGGAGCCGGTGCGGACTGAACTTCGATCCCCTCTCGCAGAGCCTATTCATCATCTCCGCATTGTGCAGGGGGGTCTCGCCGGGCCAGGGGGCGGCAAGGTTTATCTACGCGCAATATTCTTCTACCCTTCTCATACCTGACACGCGAATTTGATTCATTCATACGTTCAATCGAAGACAGCCAAAAAAATAAACCCCATCTCCCCCGCCGCCTCCGCCGTCCGCGGAAAGCGAGGGGGATCGCGCCGAAGTTGCTCGGGGCAGCGCGGCCCCTTCGCGCCTCCTCCCGCGGGCCCGGCGGGGTCGCGGCCGGGCCGCGGGTCAGAGGCCGCCCGCGCGCCGCAGCCGCGAGCTGCGGGTATCCAGCGCGGCTGCACCCCCGAAGCCTGTCACCGAAATGTATTTCATTTCGTTTATTGTTACAGCTGGTTTAGGCACGACGTTGGACTCTACTGACAAAAGATTTCTCCTCTCAGATTTCCTTTAAAATATGCGGTAGGGGTATTATTTAGCTTGGAAAGTGTTTAGAAGCTATTATATTTTGGGGGCAATGATGAGCCCTTTTTGTTTGGCCTAAGTTAGTCCTTTAAAGTGTACTCACATGGAGTTACAGTGCTGGCATGATCTGGTTTAGGCACGACGTTGGACTCTACTGACAAAAGATTTCTCCTCTCAGATTTCCTTTAAAATATGCGGTAGGGGTATTATTTAGCTTGGAAAGTGTTTAGAAGCTATTATATTTTGGGGGCAATGATGAGCCCTTTTTGTTTGGCCTAAGTTAGTCCTTTAAAGTGTACTCACATGGAGTTACAGTGCTGGCATGATGCTGTGTTCATTTTTATGGAGACAAATAAATGATAACATATTGCACTCCTCCCCAAAGGGCCATAGCAAGCAACTCTGCTAGGATATGTTTTCTTTCTTTCTTTTTTTTTCTTTCTTCTTCTATGTGATTCTTTCTTGCCTAAATCCTCCAATCTAGAGCAGATGAAGGTATAAAGTGAGAAACAGAACTGCTTCCAAAGAATCTGGTTGTGTTTGGGTCTGCAACACAGCGTTCCCATTGACCTTACCTGTAGAGTCTTCCGATTTGTTCAGGAGACACCGCTGGCTGCATACCTCCTTGCTTTTTCCATTTTCAACAATTCCCTTCATCTTCTCACATTTCTTGCATTTTTTTTTCCTCTTGGTTTGGGGCTCAACTGAATCTGCTACAGTCAGTTTTACAGTCAAGGTTTAATTTTGGTGGTCCTCAGATGAAGCTTGTATTCATCACACAGATGCTCACTGAGGCCAAAAGAGGAGGGAGGCGACGGAGTGACTCTCCTTGCTGCCATGTGCAGCGGCTGCCTGGAAAGCTCGAACTTGCCCAGACACGTCCCTTTTGTGGGGTGAACGGAAGCAGCCCCTTCCTGTTGTAATCACAGATGCCATGCAGTCTGGACACTCCAGTCCTGTGATAAACAAGTGCTCCACGACCTGTGTTTTAGTGTCCATGAAGATGATCATGATGATCATCCTCATGAGACAGAGCAATGGGCAAGCCAGAGCCTGCTCTTGTGAATAAGTTTTTCTCCCTTTTCTTCTCCATCTGATATTAAGGACTTTCCACCCTTCTTCTTGAAGCCAAAGGAACATATGGGTGGCTGTTTTTAAATGAATGGATATTTAAATGTACAACACTGTAGAAAGTGTGCTTGGATATCCAAGTATCTGTAGATAAAAGTAAACTGCAGAAGGGGGAAAGGAGGAAAGGAGTGCGCTACTTTTTTTTTTTTTTTTCTTTTTCTTTTTCTTCACCAAAATAAGGTAAAATGTGTCTAGCAGGGCACTGCATTCCTTATATACTGCCTGGGGAAATTTGGTTTTCTCAAAAGTAAATAAGAACTAAATAAGAACTAGAGATAGATTAAGCATGTGACTAGAAGAAGAAGGAGAATTTTAGTACTGGTTAGTATTAATGACTCCCTCTCATCCACAATCCATAAGCCAAAACAGTTTCAGAAGATGTCCCATTTTCCAAATTTTTGGCTTTGGCAGGACAAAGGGAAAGGAGCACAGCAGGAGATAAGATACTGCTACTGCCAAGCATTAGAACATTACCAGTGTTTTCAGAGAGCGGAAAATGATATCACTATGTGCAACTTACTTTCTGTAAAGGATGCCCCTCTTCAGTTTCTTAATCTCTTTTTTTTTCAAGAGATATGATTTACCCAGATGTGTTGGTGGGACAAAGCGCAGAAATCATTGTCCTGGGCAGGTAATAAAAGTTGTGTGCGAGAAAATTTTGCCTGGCTAGTGGTGGGATGCAGGCGATCGCTGCTGAAATTGCCTGAACAGAGCCATGAAGATGCCTTGGCATGTTTAATTTCAGTTGCTTCTGAGACTTGGTGTCTCCAAGAAAGCCATTAATAATCAGGCAGTTGGGAGGAGAGTTGGGCAGCTAAAAGATCGTCCAGCAAACGGGCCGGGTTTGAGGGCCTGCCCTGGCTGCTAATGAAGGTCATGGTTGGACATCCGTTCTTTAAGCCCTCAGCTTTCCTGTCAAATGTTTTCTTTCGAACTTGCATGGTGAGATGCCGGATTTGTTTAAAGTGTGCTTGCATGCCAATTTGTTTCTTTTTTTCCTATTTGGGATCCTGTCCCGTGTGATCTGTGTGTGCCAAACTCCAGCACAGCCCATGAGCGCTTTGGCTATGCCAAAAATGCTGTTTCTTGATCGCTGGGTTCGGAGGGGAAAGAAAAGATGTTGCGGTGAGGCTTCACTTTCCAAACTAGCTGTGGAAACAGCAACAACAAAAAAACCCCTCACCATGTGCTTGCTGCCCATTTTTTTCCTCTCATGCTTAGGAAGGGCTGTAGGAATATCTGCAGCATGAGGAGCTTCTCTCAGGACAACTCAGAAACGTTTTTCCTGGGGTCCTGCAAATCCTCCATCTCGAGCCGCCTCTGACTGATGTGGCCCAAGTGGGCAAAACCCCTCCATGCTTGTGGCCCAACCCAGCACAACAGTCGCATTGCGGTGGGGGCGATACTGTTAAGGGGAGGCTTCCACCCTCCAGCTGCAGGGTGTCTTCCTGCTAAGCCGAGTCCCGTCCCCGCTAGGTGGCTTTGTGCCTCTCCTTGCTTCCTCATGGTGCAATTTCAGCGGGAATGGCTGGTAGTAGCTCTCAGAGAATGTGCCCCCAAATTTTCCAATCTGAGGCCATGTTTTCAAAAAGCAATTTTTACTGTCTAAAATGAACTGATGGGCAGATTTTCCTTTGAGGGCTCCGTAGGAAAGGGGCCTACATCACACAGTGCGTGGAGCTTCTCAATGCCTCTACCTTGGAAAGAGGAAAAGCTGAGTCAGTCCTGCTGAGAATTGAACCTGTGGTTACAGGCAATCTAGCAAGTCTAAATCTGCCGCTTAGACCGCTAAGCTCCGACTTCTATAGTGAATGCTTGGCTTTATTTTTATAAGGACAGTGTAGGTACTGTAAAATTGTTTGGGGAAAAAGCTGTGAGTACTACGGTGTTATTATTGTTTTTCTTTTGTTTGTGTTTCTGGACTTAATCTCTACAAAAACCTTTATTGTGCTACAAAATGTGAAACGTGCTGAAGACAGTAACCTATTTCAATAGAATTATTGTTATAATAACTCAGCATACCTCCAGAGAAATGGGTTTCCTGAACATGAAACATTTTCCTGGAAGTTGCACGGTTGTGGCATGTGCAATAGTGTGTAATGGAAACACTTTTCCTATATTTCCTTTGCTTGTAAAAGAAAAATCACAGTTGGATCTTCCCAAAATAGAGAAACATCATCCATTAATAACAGCGGTTAGGGAAATTAACATTTCTACACACTGGTCTTTTTCATGGGAGCTGTTCACAAAACCAGACACGCTGGTTTTGTTCCTAGCCTCAGCCACATGTACCAGGCAAAGGACATGTATTCCAGCTCAATAGAAAAAGCCTTTTTAAAGGTGTGCTGCAGATGTGGAATATTTGCCACATATTTTCAATTTCAAGATTAGATTAGGTTATGAGAAAGCAAGCATACATGAATGTTCCAATTTGTCATTCAAGAGGTTCTCTTTTTATTTATTTTATTTGCTAAATGGACTTCTAAATGGATTTCTAAATGTGTGTGCACACACATGTTAATGTGTAAAGTAGAGTGGATGTTGGTTCAGAATAAGGATCAAATTAAATCCCATTCCAGTTAAACCCTTGGGCTGAGCTGTGGTAAGCCGAATGAGGGAGACTTGTAAGAAATTACGAGTGTGATTTAAAATGCCTCATTGAAACATATTACAGAACCCTTCATCACAAGAGTGAGACGGTTTAAATGGTCTTTTTATTAGTCAAAAATTAATCTTAAAAATTGTGTCACAATAAATGAGTCTTGGCAAGACTGTGAACACACTGGGCTTGCAAAGTGTCTGCAGGGTTTCTGCGGAGCCTTTGGGATTTCTTATTAAGGGCTTTGGTAAGGTTAGGAAGGCTGTCCTAAGCGACATGCGAAAGGGCATGAAGTGTACAGACACAGGGCTGCTGTTAAATGCTGGGAGGGACCCCCGAGATCTCGCCTGGGGTAGCCATCATGATGGTAGCTGGCAGCACAGTATTAACAGAGGTTTTTCGTCCTTGCCTTCCAGGATGTGACATGTGTGCTGACAACCGCAACGGCGAGTGCCCCATGCACGGGCCCCCCAGCAGGGCACCTGGATAGGGCCTTTCCAAGGGGTCCTCCTCCTGCCGGAGAAGGTACAAACAGGAGCCATCCGCAACACTCAGCATCTCTGGGAAGTAAGTCATCACCTTCCCTTCCTTGTCACTGTTGATTATTTTGAAGTAGACATCATGAAGTGTGATTGTATATAGGAATGACACAATTTGATCCCAGCGGAAGAAAAACTTTGATTTAAGTAAAAAGTCCAGCCAGCAGATTTGGAAATGTAATCAATAGCCAGTGCAAGCCAAAACTTTGTCCCATGAAGAATACCCAGGAAACGAGTGGGCACCCGACAGATGAACTGGGTTTTTTTGGGAAGAGCAGGAGGTTGCAGAGGCTCTGACATGAAACACAGAGGCATTTCCAGAGAAAGCTGTAGGCTATAACAAAAAAAATTCTTCATATTTTGATCTGAGTATTAATAGCTCGTGCAGCTGTCAGGTCACAGTATGGGCTTCGTCATCTTAATTTGAGCAGAAGGCATGGGTAGAAATGGCAGATTGCATCCTGGGGCTGTCACTGTGGCCTGCAATGAGTCTACTAAAGACGCTGAAACAAGAGAGGAAGCCTAGTCTCCAGCTCTGCCATTCCCACAGTGAAGGTGTCAGGGCTTGTTCACAATTTAGTGCAAGTCTAGACAAGTGTTGACTATTCATTCCCTAGTGGAGCCTTCAGTGCTGTTGTGTGAAAGCTACTTTTAGCTCTCCCTTTGAGATGGTCTTTTGTTTTTGTCACCATCTTAGAGAGGACAGCAGTGATGATCAATACAAAGGCATGCAGGGTGTGATAGTTCAGCTTATTTTGTGTTGAATACCGGCAGCAGTTGGACTGTAGACCCTCCAACACGTTCTTTCAGGCTTACAGGGACATCTACGGCTGTTGCTGGTCATAGCAATTTACAGTGGTCTCCAGTGAAGCACAGGAGTTTCATGCTTATTATACACATAAATGCTTATGAAAGCATGTCTTTTCTAGAAAGAAAAGACGATGTATGCTTATTTTGCATGTAGATGTGATAAAGGAACTTCTTATTTACAGGTATAGCCTCCTGTCTGCCCTACCTTTCACTGTTTATTTCCTCTTTGCTCTATGCTGGGAGGTAGCAGTTTTTCCTTCTCGTAAGTCCTCTGTGGCTGCAGCTCCTGCTGGTAGCAAGGGTAACTCCTACAGAGAGTTGGCAGGGCTCTGCCTGTAGAGACAGTGCTCACCTTCATTTGGACCGAATTGTACTCTTCCGAAAATAAGGGAACGTGCTTGATGATTAGAAACCTGACCAAAAGTCTGTGAAGATGCCAAGAGCATTCTTGATGTCTTCAGTGGATGTATATTAGCAGGGAAAGGATTTTTCAAAGGCATTTGGTGTTATGGAGCCAATATGTTGCAAATATCAGTTATTCATAGAAAACCAGTGAAGATTTAGGTCATCAGTTCTTTGGTGCTGGTGATATCTCTTTTCATCATTTCCCCCCCTGTTTTTTTGTTTTTGCAAAGTACCTGCTATGAGTGTCCTTATTCCGTTAGTAGGAGCTCCTATGCATTTCCTATATGCAAACAAATACAAGTAATTCCTTAAGGGCTTTGTTTTAAAGTATGAGTCATTGAGGCAGGAGAGACAGTTACACATAAAGGAGTAAAAGATCAGCCCCAGAAAGCACACACATACACTCAGAAAAATATTGGATAACTTGAAGTCTTTGTAGTTTTTGTTGCTGCCTTCAGTGAGGCTGGAGTTTCTCTTGCATAACTTTTATTTTCTACCAAAGCCTAGTGATTTTGAAAAGAGAGTTTTGAGTTATGTTATTAATCAAATATATTTATGAGACACTTTGGTGATGTTGGCAGTTTTGTTATCATTATGAGAAGGCATTGTGTGTTTAGATTATATTAATTAACAGAATATTAAATGAAAAAAATAAGCAAGACGACTCCTCAGCTTGCAGAAATCACTGGAATTTAGCTGAAGTCAATGGAATTAGAGTACTTAGCCTTAAATTATTAGCCTTAAATATTAATTAGCCTTAAATATTTAACTCATCATTAAAAAAACCATTGGACATGAATCAGTTTTATGCACATTAAATTAATATTGATACATATTCTTGTATTAAATAGGCATGATTTATTTTTAGCCTAATTTGAGTTTAAATTAAAAATTGTTTGGAAACATCATCTGAAATATTATTTATCTACCATGATAAATAACATAGAATGGGAAAGGGAAGCAGTACCCACTGCTAAAATTGTCCAACAAGCTAGAGCTCAGCTGTGAAGGGAGGGAGAGTGGTGGCAATGAAGGAAAGAGATGAGAACAAAGAATAAAAAGATGTTAAGGAAAAATAAGACACAGGACTGATGTATATGTCAGATTCAGGCCACCAGCCTGGACTCAGCACTCAGCTGAGTTTTTTGTTTGAGTTTACTCTTTTGTTCTTAACACACAACGCAGATTTCCTGTTGGCTACGAACAATGTGTGTTGTGTGTGTGCGTATTTTAAGTGAATCATTTTCAAAATAGAAATTTTATTTCATATCTTGGAGAGGAGGTACTGTGGGTGGCTCACGGTGTCAGATGATTTCTGTTAATGCAAAAATGACTTGCAAGAGTCGTGCACTCTAAGCTATTAGAGGAATGTCTCATCGGTGTCCCTTTATAAAACTGACTGTAGTCAGTTCTTTTTTTCCACTGATCTTTTCAAGGTAGATGTAAACACAAAAATGTCAACAGACAGTTATTCGGTGGTAAGTCCTGATGGATCTTCAGAGGAAACTTATCTTTCTTAGTACCATAAATAGATTTCTAATATGTTTTTTTCTCTTCAGTGTTGCAAAGTTAGGTTGATAGATGTTTATTTTCATGTACAGTTCATTTTTTTCAGCTAGGCACTAAATAAGTAGAAGCACCATTGTAAAGACTTTTAAGCTTTGTTACTGATTTGGCGGCTTTTATTTAATTTGCTTTGTTGTGGGAAACATCAGAAGGATTGCGTTTGATATATAGCTCAACACTATGGAAATATGCTTCGGTCTGTCTGCACAAGTGTTCCCACCATGCACTCAGTGTTTGCTTTGTATGTAATCCATATAGCATAATGTACAGCCATTCAGAGTAAATTACATACCGTTCCATTACCTCACAACAGGCCTTGACACCTATGGGTGTTCATGGGAAATTATAGAGTTCTCTAGCAATCAGCCAAGATCATTTTTTATAACTTACAGAAATATCAGCCCTTCAGAAAGCCAAAAATATTAGTCATTTTTAGTTGTACTTCTTTTTCTTTCCCCTTTGGCCCCCTTCTATCCAATCCAGGGTTTGCTTATATTTTATAAAAATACAATAAACTCTGATTTGTCTAAAACAAAAACAGGACTGGGTGTATTAAGTAAACATGCTCTTTGGTACTACAGGCATTTGTTCCAACTGTGCTTGATAATATTTCTGATTTTTTTTTCTTTATTTTTTCCATTTTGAAGTAACGAGAACAATTCCTTTCTAATGTTATTGCAAAGAAAAGAGACTTTCTCAGCAATTAGGTTTTATTGATGAGAATGAGATAATTTCCCTTAATGTGTTTTCTAATAAGGCATGTTTGATTCCAACATATATGAAAACATTATCTCAATTATTAATGTGTCCTTATTCCCTGGAGATAAATTAATCTAGTTGCACATGGTTTCCCCTTTCTGTTTAACATCAAAATTTAATAAGAGTAGACTTAAGGAATGTATACGATAAACGTTTAAAATTCTATTAGAAGAAAATACAGAAGTTCAAAAAGCATATGCATTTTAGTAGTCAAAAGTTTTTCAGGCTCTGAACTTTAAACTGTGAATTTTGGAAAGAGCTAAATAGTAATGATCCTCTTCCCTGCAAATGCAGCTTAGATGAAGCAAGCTTTACTGACAGGGATACTAAAGGATGGAATCTTATAGTTTCCTTTCTTCTGTTCTCCTAGCAAACTGTTTGCTCTTCTTTTTTTTTTTTTTCCTTCCAGATACCAAGTTGCACTTTTTTTTGTGAGGTTGGAGAAATAGTCCAAGGATATCAAATCTGTAATTTTACCTTGTTTTAACTTGATTTAATTTAAAATTCTGTTTTTGTGAAATGATTGAGTTTTCATATATTTGGTTTTTTAAGGCATGAGTAAAATTTCCATGTAGCAGGATACTCATTAATAATTACAAAATGCTAAATATGGTCCCAATTTTCCTCGAACATGGACAGAATTAACTGATATGTCTTTTTTTTTTTTTTTTTTTTTTTTTTTTAAAAAGAGGCCCCTTGCGATTTTTTTGGCCCTCCAAAGGAAGTCAAAAGCAATGATGGTGCATTGGACTTTGTGCAGACCTGGGACAGGCACGCTGTTGAGCTGTATGCTGGGCCAAAGCCGTGCAACAGATACTGCACATTTCTGTACCTATTAATCTGCAGATCCCATCCTTACCTTACAGATCAGGAACTCCCTGGTATTTTGGACCCAATTTGCTGTTACAACAAAACTCTAGGGGATTGAATTGTTTGCATACCGTAGTTGTATTAAAGTGAAATTCATGTTTCTCAGCAATCCATCATCTAGTATTCTAGACTGCTGTCAGCTCTGTTTCAAGCATGTCATGTTCATGAAATTCAAATAATTTTGGATCAAAAATAAACCTTAGCTGTCTTAATAATATATAATTATAATTATATATTAATAAAGCAGAGTAGCAGCTTGTTCCATTCCATAGTTGTTTTGCCTTTTCTGAGTATTTTGTGTGTGTGTCTGTGTGTGTAAGCCTCTCTTTCATTTTCCTTTTATTTGCTATTAAGAAAACACAAAGATTTTCACTTTTGGTGGATTTTAAACTCATACACTGCCTACAGGAAAAAAATGTGAACATTGTGCTCAGTAGCTCGCTGAACTAAAAGTTCACTGAGAATACATGTAGAACCACAGCTTCTTGAATTTATGTGCCTCCGAAGAAAATTACACTAAGCTGCTACAAAGCAGCTTGCCCCCATTAGTATTTCTGGATTGCTTAGTATCACATTTTTCCAAATAGCTTTTGTTAGTTACATACTGCTTCCCAAGGA